TTTTTTTTTTTTTTAAATTTAATTAACTGGTATTGTATAGTCTGTAACAAATCATTCTACTATCTCACGTTCTTGGAGGTTTAACTTTGCTTTCAGTTGCTGCTCCCTACTCCGGCTCATGCGGACCGTCCCTCCGGGTGCTGTGAAATGTTGATTTTGAAGCCGCGCCCGGTGGGGACTCTGTGTGGCCAGCACTGAAGGTGTGTCTCTCTAGAGTGGAGGTCCTCCATCCTTTCTGCACCTTAGAATCTCCTAGCGACCTTTTAAAAATCAGGATGGCAGGTTGGACCCCAGATCAGAGCAGATATTCCAGGTGTGAGACGGAGACATTAGTACTTCTAGAGTTCCAAAGTCAAGGGTGAGACCACTGCCCTGGAGAGGATTTGCCTTTGACTTTCACAGGCACTGCGAGTGTGTTCCCAGCCCTGGATCACTTTCATGTCAGTTTCTCAGCTCTGGGTTCCTGACTGCATAGGTGGCACAGTATTTTCTGTACAGTAAAAAGCGACACCATAAAAGTCCTAGAGGAGGACATAGGCAGGAAGATCTCAGATATTCCACCCAGCCACATTTTCACCAATATGTCCTCTAGAGCAAGGGGCATGAAAAAGCATTTGTAATAGAGAATATCAACAAAGGCAATTTGATTCTTTTTTTTTTTTAACAACTTTATTGAGGAATAATTGACATATATTTGTATATATTTAAAATATGTGATGGTTTCATAATATACATTGTGGAATTATTACCAGATCAAGTTATTTAACACATTACTCGCCTTGTATAGTTAACTCATTTCTTGGGTGTGGTGAGAATGCTTAAGACCCACTCTGAGCCGCGGTCACGTCTGCAGCGAGGACACAGCGCCGGCCGCAGGGACGGCTGCACGTGGCCCCTGGAGCTTACAAGTCCGCATCCTTGGGCTGGCACCTTCCCACCTCCCCCGCCCTGGCCTGTGGGGACCAGCACTTCATTTTGTTTCTATGCGATCAGCTTTTTTTTTCCTTTTCATTCGCATGTAAATGATACCATGCAATATTTGTCTTTCTCTGTCTGGCTTATTTTACTTAGCGTAATGCCCTGCAGTTTCATCCATATTGTTGCAAGTGCAAGGATTTCCTTATGTTTTATGGCTGAGTGGTATTCCATTAAATATATATACAGCATATTTTCTGCATCCGTTCACGTGTCGGTGGGCACTCAGGGTGTTTCCGCATCCTGGCTGTCGTGGACGGTGCTGCGGTTGAGAGGGTGGGCAGGCATCTCTGTGAGGCCCTGACTTCAGCCCCTCGGGGTGAGTATGGGGGGCTGGGGTTGCTGGGTCGTACGGTAGTTTCGTTTTTAAGTTTTTGAGAAACTGTTTTCCAATAATGGCTGCACCAGTGAACATTGCCACCAGTAGTGTATAAGGATTCCTTTCGTCCACATCCTTGCCAGCATTTATCTTTTGTGTTTTTGGTAATAGCCATCTTAACAGGTGTGAGGTGATGTCTCACTGTGGTTTTGATTTGCATGTCCCTGATGATTAGGGAAGTTAAACTCCTTTTCATACACCTACTGGCCTTTTTAAAAAATCCTCTTGGAAAAAAATGTCTTTTCAGGTCCTTTGTCCATTTTTTAAAAATGCAGGTATTGGCTGTAAAAATTTTTATTGATTGATTTGAGAGAGAGAGAGGAAGAGAGAGAGAGAGAAAGAGAGAAAGAAACAGATTTGTTGTCTCGTGGGACAGGGGGAGATTGTTCCGCTTCAGACTGAGCAAACCCAAGGCTTCGTCACCGACTCCCACGTGGCCACAAACAGCCCCTTCCTGCTTACCCGTCTCAACTCGTGCTCTCTGGACAGCCCGTCCGTGTCGGGGGAACACATCTGTGTTTATGTTCCTCCCTGGTTTTGGTTTTAGAATTTCCCTTACTGCCTTGTGAATCAGCTGTCCATTTAGAATCTTTGTTACATTTATCCAAGAATCCCAGGTTCTTCTGTGTGCTTAGATCCCAGTATTGCTGGAAAAAATGGAAGTCTTGCTGAGACTGTAAGTCTGTATCTTCATGGCCCTGCCCTGCCCTTGAATTCATCCTCCGGTTCCCAGCATCTGCCTGAACCAAGTGTGAGCTTGCTGTGTCTTTGGATGCGGTGCACCAGGTTTGCAGGCACCTGGCAGACAGGCCTCTGGAGCTTGTATGCATTTCCCGGGGCTGTGCCAGGCCTGGCCTTGGCTGCGTCTTGCTCTAGCTGGTCTATGTTGCCAAAGTCCCAGCATGCTTTGAATTCCAGCCTACCTGAATTATGTCAATTTCTAGTCTTTTTCTTCTGTTTCCAAGTCTCTGTCTTTTGAACTTAAGTTGCCAAACTTAAGTCTGGTTTTAGTTTATTTTCTGGATTCATCTTTCCACAAAGGACTCTATCCCTGATTTGAGAGTTTGTAGTGTGGTTTATAACAATGTGGGAATGGGTCCAACTCAAGATTCAGATGTCTAAGATGCCCAGATGGTTTTAGCAAAGAGCTTCTAACTTTCTACTTCATTTAAAACAACACTAAACTTATTGAGTGTGTAAATTCAAAAGATTTTCGACTACATGTTGATAACTATGTACCTGTAGTATTAATTGAGGATAAACGCTGAATTACTAAACTTGTCAGAAGGAATTTACAGTTGAGAATACCCTTTGACTTAATTTTATTTGCTTAATTCACGAGTAGCCATCTCCCTGTGCACCGAGTACCACCAGCAGTGGCTGGATTGTGGCTGGTCCACTCGATGACCTCTTTTACTCTGAGACCTGGTATGGTCACCGAGTTTTGTGAAAAAGCACTCAGAGAACTCTCGTTGGTATTGGATGGGGCGTCTACCCTAGTCTGGACTTCCTTATTTCTTTTAGAAAGCCCTGCTGATCATCACTGAAACGTGAGTCTCACAGCAGCCCCTAGCCCCGTGCCAGTGGTGTTGGCATTTGATTAAGAACATGGCTGTGAACATTGACCGAGATCTCTGGAGGCAAGAGAATACTGTGTGCTAGTAACGAGCCGGCAGACATTGTGGGCTGCACGGCTGGTCGGCAGTCCATCGGCATCTTTCTTCTTAATCAGTTGCGTCCTCTGGGGCTCGAGTCACGGTCCTTTCAATCATTTTACCCTTATTTAGATTTCTCCTCCTACTTTCTCTCTCCTTTTTCTTGGCAGTATCTTCTAACAAAATTAGGAGGGGCTTCCAGAAGGTGCCTTGGAAGACTGTTGAAATGTGTATACCTGTCAAAAAGGATGGACCAAACCCTGTTGAAAGCTGTTTTACACATCAGGTCCTGAGTGGGGTCTCAGCTCCTCTGTTATGATCTGATCATCCGGAATGATCTGAAGGAAAACCATCAGAGCTAATTATAGAGCCCGCAGTGATTTTCAGATGCCTTTTCTTCTTTTTCTCATGCAGGGGACTCAGGAATCTTGTACTCTGGATGAACCCAATTTACATTCTTGTCGGGATTGGGAAAGTAGGGTTGAAGACTTTATTTTGAAGGCAAAACTCTTTAATTTACTAAGGAACACAATCTATTCTTTTTATTCTCCTTTCTCTCTCTTGTTCTCTTCTTTCTTTTCTTCTCTCCATACCTCCTTCCTTCACTTTCCTCACACCTCCCTTCTCCCTTCTCCTCCTTCCCTACCCTTCCCTTCTTGTCTTTCCTTTACTCTTCCTTCATTCCTCTTTTCCTTCCTTTTTTCTTCCTTTCTTCCAACCTTCCTTCTTTCCTTATATCTTGGTCACTTTGCACATGCCTAAATATTTTGGAAAATAGACAATGTTGAAGGTAAGGTATTGTTTCTATTACAAAAACTTGGTTAGAATGATGACACTCCAGGATTGGAAAGAAAACATAATGTTCTTCTACTTCAGCCATGTAATGGATCCCTGAGTCCCTCCCACTCTGTCCACAGTGTATGACGGGAGACCGACATCCCCCGTGGTGATGGAAAGCCTCCTTTGCCCTGAAGCAGCCCATGACAACTTCGAACAGCTCTGGCAGTTACTTAGTGACTGGTTATGAGTTAAAATATAGTTTTCTATAACATCTATCCATCCACTGCTCTTTATCCATCTATCTGCCCTGTCCTTGTGGCCAAATAGAGCGGCACTTTTCAAATTTTAAGTTGAAATATAAGATTGTGAAATAATTTTCGTTGGATACGACCAGCATTAAGAGAGGAGGAGGAGGGACAGGCGAGGGCAAAGCGAAGGAGCAGCAGAGTGGAATGAGAGTAGAATGTGAAAATATCAGCGTGTATCACAGATAGTGAGGTTTTCATAAAACCTTTGTCTTGACTGGGTAATTGTTATTTAGTGAACTGCATATGTCAACTGGATCACAATGGTTCAAAGAAAAGTTTGAAAGCTGCTGAATAAAGTGTGTCTGGTTTTTCTTCCGAGTGGCCATCCACGCAGGTGAGCCGACCGCATGCCCTGCCGAGTCTTCACTTCTCCAAGCTAAACATTTCCTTCCGCCCTCCGCGTGCATCGCGGCCTCGCGTCTCCTCGCCATCCTTAACTCAATCCAGAGTACCCAGTTCGTGTGAAAAATACAGACCTCAAGTCCAAACAACGTCCCTAGCTGTGCTCCGACCGAAACAGAGGCAAGCAGGACTACCCTTCTGCGGGTTAGCAGAGTGCGCCTCAGAGCATTTCCGCGCTGCCTGAGCTGCACGCTGCGGTGGTGCGGGCACAGACCCAGGGGCCGCTGGCCTTGGCGTCTGTCTGTTCAGCTGCTGTGAGCCTTAGTGACTAGTAACCTCGGGCAGTTATGCAGCCGCTCTGTGCCTCTGTTTCTTCATCTGTACATAGGATGATAATAGTAGTTCAGAACATTTTCATGAGTATTAAATGACTTGATTATATGTAAAGGACTTGGAACAGTGCCAGGCAAATAGTATACACTTAGTGGGCTAATATATTTCTAAAGCAATGACAGCAAATTGTTGATCCATCTAACTTTTTATCAACTTACATTTATCTAGGCTTTTGGTGTGTGCACCAGTGGGATCGTAAGTCCCAGTCTGCAGCCCCCGGTCTGCGCCTGGCGTCCTGACACAAGTGGCAGTGCTCCCTTTTGCAGTCACCTGTGGCCCCGACAGGACCTTGTGTATGAATCTTCGAACCTATATTTTTGTGGTAAGAATTAATATTTTCACCAGTTATGTACCACCCTACCTAACAGCCACCTCTTCTCTCTCTAAGTATTGATCAATATTGGACTTATGTAGAAGATCTTACTTTTTCATTTTCTGTTGAAACTTCGCCTCAGTTCTCCCATCCCCCCTTCCCCCTCCCCCCTCCCCCTGACAGGTGGCAGAGCCAAGATGAAAGGCAGAGGCTGCCTGACTCCAGGTCTGGGCTCGTCCCTCTGGGTCCGATGACCGGGGTTCAAACTGGCCCATCTTTCTATCCTGTGAAGAACTTTGGATTATGATTAAGTTATTCAGGGTCTTTATTAGCCCTCTAAATGTCATATTATTTGTATCTTTAATTTATTTGGTGGATAGTTAATGAACTTCCACAGGATGCCAGGTCCTGTCCCAGGGGCCAGGAGTGGAGCCGGGGACCAGCCGCCACGGCCCTTCTTCCAGGGAGCTGACCTGCTGGAAAGGTCGCTCTGCGTCCTAATCTGTGGCAACTGGGGTCATCAGAACAGGATTTACATAAACCCTGAGGCTGGTTACTGGGTGCTTCCTTCTGGATTAAAAATATTTATTCATTTAAAAGTAGCATTCGGCAGTCATCTTACAGATAATGAGCCTGTTCGTATGGTCCATCGACGTTTCTTCTAGTCCGAAGTACAGTATCATCCTACTGTCGCAGGCCTTTTTCTCGCTTACCCGCATCTGTCGTTCTTCCTGCACTTGGTAGTCTGCTCTGAACGGAGGAAGTGGTGTTGTCTGGACTAATTCGTCCTCAGTGGTGGCCCACTAGCATTCTGAAAATGACCACGTATTTTAATAGTCTGTTCCAGAACGTCCTTGTGGTCTAGCAGTTTGCAGACCTTGCATTCTCAGTCGTTTTGAAAACAGGGACTTTCCTTCCTTTGGCCAGCTCCTCCTCTCGTTCCCTATGATTCCTTCAAGACCTCCGCCGTTGGCTCAGCGGTCTCATTTGCTAAGCTCTTCCTGGAAGCTTCTAGACTATAGTTGGGCCAGGCGTAAGCTTTTTCAGAGAAGCTAGATGCTCTCTTAAAATCTTACTCATCTTTGGTTTCACACCCCTCTTCTGAATTATAGTAATGGGATTCTATACTGAAACTCGGACACTGTAACCGTTGCCATTTATTGAGCCCTTATTATGTGCAAAGCACGTCTGTAAGCATTTACACACATCTCTCCCAGTCGTGTTGCATTACCGTGATGGGGGCGTTGTCTGTCTCTGTGAGAGAAGAGGAGAGCATGACCACACGGAGCAGTGAGGTGCAGAGTGGGGACCTGAACCCCGTCTGCAGTGTCAGGAAGACCGGAGAATGGGGTGCTCCCGGGACTAAAATTGGACAGAGGTTCTTGATGAAATAGCCTTCTAAAATGACAGACTTTCTTCTAATGTGATAACACTATGTTTGCATTTGTAATTTACGATTTTTGTGATGACTCATAATTTTGTTTGAAATATTTCACTTACATAAAGATGAAGCTATTAAAGCAGAAGTAGATGGGGCAGGACCTTGGGGAAAAAGGAATAAGAATTTGAGGAAAACGGTCCAGTTTGTTTCTCGGGAAGCATCCACAATGCCGGTTTGCTCCTCTTCGTGAACGTGCAGGAACGAATGCGTGCGGCTGTGCGTGACCTCCTCGGCAGTGAGGCACGGTGTGCTTGCTGTGGGCGAAAGACCCAAGCTCCCTCTTTTGAGTTATTTTCTTACTCGCTATAGATTCATGTTTTTTCCCGCCATGATATCATGATTGGTGAATTTCATTTTCAATGGTTTATATCAAGCTTAGCTCCAAAAAGGACTTGAGGTGATATTATTGTCTGTTGACTTATTGGCAACATTGAAAATGTTATTTCTAGATAACTGAACAGCAGGTCCTGTAAGACAGGGGCCTGCACCTCCTCCGCCCACCCATCGCACGGTCAGCTCCGCGTGCCATTCAGGGCGCGGTGCCGCGTTCCTGAATCTGTGCGTGGACTGGTGAGTGGCAGTCTCCACGCTGGCTTTAAGAGATTTGCTGTGTCACTTATTTTCCTTTAATTGTTGGTGAGTTGAGAAACCTCTTTGAATCTCTTTCAAAAGAGCAAGATTCTTTAAAAAGAACACATTGTGATGTGTGAACAGGCCCAGTTATTTCCTAAGACTTTTGATTTTGGAGAATTTTTTTTTAGCTTGGTGAAGACCCAGTCCTGGCACTGGCTGTTTCTCTGAACAATGGGAGGAGTAGGGGAGAGCGTTTGCAGGGGTGAGGCCAGAGGCCTCATTGTCCCAGGGAGTTACAGAAACTGCTGGGGGTGGGACACTCACCATATTGACACTTGTAGTTTTGAGGTGGAAAGAGTAGGAGGCTTCAGTCCCAAGTAGACAGAAGAACCTTTATATATATAGGTCCTCAGCACATCACAGGGATGAAAGGCTAAGCGGGTAATTTGCTCCTGGGCCCCCTGCCCTTGGGCTGTTGGTGGCGAGTTGCTTTAGCAGAGCTGAAGGGCCTCTCTTTCCTTGGAGAACCTCATTTCTTTTCCAGGTAAATGGTAATTATCACCTGCAAGTACACCAGTGTTTGATGTCCATATTTGCATGGATATTTATATATAGTTTGTATATTTAAAACCTCACTTGGAGAACTTGGTTTAGAGCAATAACAGCTGGCAACAGGTTTAAAGTAGAGAACACCCCAAGTTGGCTTGAGTTTTTTCCACGTGCAATATTTATTCCTTTAATTATTCGAGAACTTCGACTTTGTTAACAACAAAGATTCTTAACTTTTAGTATAAAACCTGGAAAGCAGCTGGCTGGTTATGAATCGGCAGTGCCATCTACGGCGTACTACCTCGGATTCTAGTTCAAGTGCTCACGAGGGACGTGGGGAGGCTCAGAAATTCTCCTCTGTGTTCAGTGACTTCCGTGTGAAGACTTCAGTTTTATATAACTAGAAGAAGTCTTCCTTTTAGTTCCAACATGGCAGAGACCACCGTTTTCTTCAAGTCCTCCTTAGTGCGGAAGCTTCAAAAACACACAGTGATAGTAAGAAGAGCAGTTCTAGTTTCGTAAAGATTGCATTTTGAAATGCTCTTCAGCAGCAGCTCTCTATCTAGGTGCTGCATGGAAGCCCGTGACTGTGGGTCACATTAGGTGAGTCTCGAATAGGCGTAGGGCAAGCAGATATACACAAGCAAATGCACGACATGAATATGATAGGAATACCGTATTTTGCCATGTATAATGCATATCGAAAATTTTGGCCCAAACTTTCAGAAAAAAATCAAAAGAATCAAAAATATTTATATAGAGGGTATAAAGGGGACTAAATGGTAATGGGAAAAAATTTAAAAAATATATATGATAAAGATTATATATTAAAAATATAAACATTTACATAGATATGGAATTAGTACTACTCATGTATAATGTGTATCCTTATTTTTCCCTTAAAATTTGGGCAAAAAAAGTGCACATTATTCATGGTAATAATTATGGTTTCATCACACTTATTGTATGGTAGTTCAGTAATTTTGTGATCTTTAATATATCTATTACTTAAAAAAAATTCTTGCCATGACTGGTGTGGCTTACTTGGTTGAGCATCATCCTGAAAAGTGAAAGGTCTCAGGTTCAATTCCCTGTCGGGGCACATGGCTAAGTTGCAGGTGCGGTCCCCAGTTGGGGCGTGGACCAGAGACAACTGACTGATGTTTCTCTATCACTTCAATATTTCTCTGCCTCTCTTTCTCCATCCCTTCTCCTCTCCTTAAAAATAGAAAAATAAAAATTAAAAAATATTTCCTTTAGAAAAAGAAGTATCAATCAGAAAAAATCTACCTACTCATTAGTTTTAAGCTTATAATAAGTAAATGTATGGGGATGTTTGGAATTTCTAAGATAATTATAGTTTCAAACCACAGCACTTGTACAAATATTCATTCGATTCTTTTTTTTAAAGATTTTATTTACTTTATTTTTTTAGCGAGGGGAAGGGAGAGGGAGAGAGAGGGAGACAAGCATCAATGTGTGGTTGCCTCTTGTGTGCCCCGCACTGGGGATCTGACCAGCAACCCCCAGGCATGTGCCCTGACTGGGAATCGAACTGGTGACCCTTTGATTTGCAGGCTGGCACTCAACCACTGAGCCACACCAGCCAGGGCCATTGGATTCTTATTTTACTTTACCAACACACATTAGTTTAAAGTTGAGCAAGACTCATTGTCCAGATCTGTTTTATCAGTCCTCTGGTAATTCCAAGACTCCCACTGGAGCTTCTTGAAAAGAGCTTATGAGTTACTCTTTTTTCCTATTATATGTCATGCCAGATCAACATTATTTTCAGAAACGGTAATTTTCTGTTATATCAACCTTTTGCATAGCTTTCTTTCTCTAGCTTTGAAAGTAATATACATTTGTGATAAAAATTTCAAATAGTCATCATTCTCTATAAACAGCCCCTGGAGATATTCATTATTAATGGCTCGGTGCACTATTTTTAGTTGTGTTTGTTAATGCGAGCCTTTCCATTTCCCAGCGGCCCCGAGGCAGGGCTGCTCTGTCTGAGTTTTCCTCGGTGGCGCTTTCTTCCAGAGAGTTTGCGGGCTGTTTGTTCTCCAGCTCCGCCAAGGGAACCGGTCACTTATTACTGTGGCCGGGAAACTTGCGTCTTCACTTCAGTTATGATGGTTTCTGTCTTTCTATGGCGTTTAGTTTCTTAGGAGCTTGACAACAGCATGGGCTTGTGCGGCGCTGTGCACATGTCCCAGCATGCTCGGCCACATCCCCGCCCTACGTAGAAAGGCCGTGGAAAGGCTCAAGTCTTCACCTAAATTGGCCAATCTGCAGCGGAGCCGTAATTTGAACCCTCTGATTACGCATATCCTGAGGTGAACTTCACCTGGTCCCGTGACCTTAAACACTAAATTCTGAGGATTCTCAAATTTGTATTTCCCCTTGAGCTTCAGACTTGTGTATCCAGGTGTCTTTTTCTTTT